GCCAGACTCACGGAACTCCGTGTTCATCAAGAACTGCAAGAAGCCCCTATCACGAGCCTTTTCCATCCTATGGAGAGGAAGCATGGACACGGGGGTCGTCCCACAGTTACTAAAAACAACAGACATAGCCCCACTCAACAAAGGGGGCAGTAAAGCAACAGCAAAGAACTACAAACTGATAGCACTAACATCCCATATCATAAAAATCTTTGAAAGGGTCCTAAGAAGCAAGATCACCACCCATCTAGAAACCCATCGTTACACAACCCAGGGCAACATGGGTTTTAGAACAGGTCACTCCTGTCTGTCTCAACTATTGGATCACTACGACAAGGTCCTAAATGCACTAGAAGATAAAAAGAATGCAGATGTAATATATACAGACTTTGCAAAAGCCTTCGACAAGTGTGGCCATGGCGTAATAGCGCACAAAATGCATGCTAAAGGAATAACAGGAAAAGTCGGTCGATGGATCTATAATTTCCTCACTAACAGAACACAGAGAGTAGTCGTCAACAGAGTAAAGTCCGAGGCAGCTACGGTGAAAAGCTCTGTTCCACAAGGCACAGTACTCGCTCCCATCTTGTTTCTCATCCTCATATCCGACACAGACAAGGATGTCAGCCACAGCACCGTGTCTTCCTTTGCAGATGACACCCGAATCTGCATGACAGTGTCTTCCATTGCAGACACTGCAAGGCTCCAGGCGGACATCAACCGAATCTTTCAGTGGGCTGCGGAAAACAATATGAAGTTCAACGTTGAGAAATTTCAATTACTCAGATATGGAAAAACACGAGGAAATTAAATCTTCATCAGAGTACAAAACAAATTCTGGCCACAAAATAGAGCGAAACACCAACGTCAAAGACCTGGGAGTGATCATGTCGGAGGATCTCACCTTCAAGGACCATAACATTGTATCAATCGCATCTGCTAGAAAAATGACAGGATGGATAATGAGAACCTTCAAAACTAGGGAGGCCAAGCCCATGATGACACTCTTCAGGTCACTTCTTCTATCTAGGCTAGAATATTGCTGCACACTAACAGCACCTTTCAAGGCAGGTGAAATTGCTGACCTAGAAAATGTACAGAGAACCTTCATGGCACGCATAATGGAGATAAAACACCTCAATTACTGGGAGCGCTTGAGGTTCCTAAAACTGTATTCCCTGGAACGCAGGCAGGAGAGATACATGATTATATACACCTGGAAAATCCTAGAGAGACTAGTACCGAACTTGCACACGAAAATCACTCACTACGAAAGCAAAAGACTTGGCAGACGATGCAACATCCCCCCAATGAAAAGCAGGGGTGTCACTAGCACGTTAAGAGACCATACAATAAGTGTCAGGGGCCCGAGGCTGTTCAACTGCCTCCCAGCATACATAAGGGGGATTACCAACAGACCCCTGGCAGTCTTCAAGCTGGCACTGGACAAGCACCTAAAGTCGGTTCCTGACCAGCCGGGCTGTGGCTTGTACATTGGTTTGCGTGCAGCCAGCAGCAACAGCCTGGTTGATCAGGCTCTGATCCACCAGGAGGCCTGGTCACAGACCGGGCTGCGGGGGCGTTGACCCCCGAAACTCTCTCCAGGTAAATGCATAGGTAGTAGGTTGGTAGACAGCAACCGCCCAGGGAGGTACTACTGTCCTGCCAAGGGAGTGTAAAACGAAAGCCTGTAATTGTTTTACATGATAGTAGGATTGTTGGTGTCCTTTTTTCTGTCTCATGAACATGCAAAATTTCAGGTATGTCTTGCTACTTCTACTTACACTTAGGTCACACTACACATACATGTACAAGCACATATATACACACCCCTCTGAGTTTTCTTCTATTTTCTTTCTAGTTCTTATTCTTGTTTATTTCCTCTTATCTCCATGGGGAAGTGGAACAGAATTCTTCCTCCGTAAGTCATGCGTATTGTAAGAGGCGACTAAAATGCCAGGAGCAAGGGGCTAGTAACCTCTTCTCCTGTATATATTACTAAATGTAAAAGGAGAAACTTTCGTTTTTCCTTTTGGGCCACCCCGCCTCGGTGGGATACGGCCGGTGTGTTGAAAGAAAGATTTATACTACACATAGGTAGTAGGTTGGTAGACAGCAACCGCCCAGGGAGGTACTACCGTCCTGCCAAGGGAGCGTAAAACGAAAGCCTGTAATTGTTTTACATGATGGTAGGATTGCTGGTGTCCTTTTTTCTGTCTCATGAACATGCAAGATTTCAGGTATGTCTTGCTACTTCTACTTACACTTAGGTCACACTACTCATACATGTACAAGCACATACATACACACCCCTCTGGGTTTTCTTCTATTTTCTTTCTAGTTCTTATTCTTGTTTATTTCCTCTTATCTCCATGGGGAAGTGGAACAGAATTCTTCCTCCGTACGTCATGTGTGTTGTAAGAGGCAACTAAAATGCCGGGAGCAAGGGGCTAGTAACTTCTTCTCCTGTATATATTACTAAACGTCAAAGGAGAAACTTTCGTTTTTCCTTTTGGGCCACCCCACCTCGGTGGGATGCGGCCGGTGTGTTGAAAGAAAGATTTATACTACAATGTGGTATTAAGTTATGTATGAACTTTGGGTATTTAAATTTTAAAGTGTTAAGATTTAGGTAATTGGGAGATCTTAATTTAAGTATTGAGTATTGAATATTTAGTTTAGGGTGAGTAGATGATTTTTGAGAAGAGTCTTGAATTGATGTTCAGACCTGGTTACTTTAGTATTTACTGGTAGCGAGTTCAAAATTTTGGAGCCCTTTATGTGCATAGAGTTCTTACATAGTGTGGTGTAGACACGGGGTACCTCAAAAAGTGATGTGTCTTGAGTTATGGTCGCACATCCTGTTAAGGTTGGTGAGGAGAAGTTTGAGTGAAGGGTTTATGTTTGAGTGTAGTGTTCTATGTATGTAGTAGGCACAAGAATAAGTATGGATGTTCATTACGGTGAGTAATTTTAGACTTTTGAATATTGGTGGAGTATGCTGTCTGAAGTGGGAATTTATCATCATTCTGACTGCAGCTTTTTGCTGGGTTATTAAGTGATTTAATGTTGTTGATCACCATGCACAAATTTCATAGGTGAGATAAGGGTATATGAGTGAGTGATACAGTGATTCTACGATATATACAATACTAAAGCAGCACAAGTCGATAAAGGCTATAGCGCCAGCCAGCGATAAAGTGTAGCATTAACAGTGTAGCAAGTAAGTTAAGCAATTAATCGATAAAAAAGGACAGTACAAACCTAACTCCTCCAATGTTGTTGGAGTTGTATAGGGCTACTGACAACACCGCCACCACAATGTACGGCTTATGCTCTCAGTGACCCTTATACACCCAACAACAAACCACCACCACTTGTGACATACGTAATGGCATTTTTTATTCATTCTAGAGTATATGTCATGTTTCCATGTTATTAATATTCTTTATTATGTCATATTAGATGAACTGTGATAGATAAATAAGCCGCAGAGTTGATATTAGTGTCATATTGAAGGACTATCTTGTCTTGCATCCAAACACATTCCCCTGCCGCCGCCGCAATTCCTAACATATGTAATGACATTTTATTCATACACCAACAAGAGTCTTCAATTAAGGTAAGTGTGATGTTATTATCGTTTTATTCTTCATGTCTCATTGTTTTCTGTGTATGTAAATCTATATTTCATGTAAAAAATATTTTTTTGCAAATACTTTTAGTATGAAATGGATTAATTGGATTTACATTATTTCTTATGGGGAAAATGGTTTTGCAAATCGTCAATTTCACCATTAGTCACACTCTCTAGAATGGATTAATTACGAAAAACAAGGGTCCACTGTAATTTATTCCTGAGAAAAAAAGAAATTCTATTTTCTATAAAACTCTATGGAGTTCACCTGCCTCAAGTCACTGGAGCATACACCTCCACTCATAACGGCAGCCCACAGGCAACTAAGCAGCACTCACTATGAACACTAATACGGAGTTGACAGACAAGATGCCATGTTGTGTATTTGAAAAGAAACAATCGTAAAAATCATAATTTTTGAAAAAAAAAAAGTCCTCTTGATGACAGCAAGAACAAAACACATTATATTTTTGGAAAAAGATACTTAGAAACATGATAGAAACAAGCTGATTGCATCATGTTGCCAGATTTATGCACTATTTTTCAGTAAGAAAAAAAATCATAATTTTCTTTTTTTTTTTTTGTGTATATGTGGGGGGGGGGATTTGTACCTCCCCCTTGAGCTCTACCACTGTACTGTGGTGGTTACAATAGAAGAGAGCAACGTTAACAGATGCCAAAGTTAGTTTAACATCTTTATTGTGCACCTCATACCATTCTGTTTGCAGTAGTCAAGGGATTACAGAGGTACATTATGGATCCAGAGACTGGACTGCAAGGCTTTGACAGCTGAGCAACACACCAAAGTCTGACACCATCTGCAAGTTTTAATACCTCTCTTCCACACTAACAATCCTAGGGAAAGATCTAGCTCTTGTCCCTACACAGCCACAGTCAGTGTACTAAGAAAATCACAATGAATAAATGATTAAATTTACTAAAAACTGGATATTCAGTTTTACATTAAGTCAGGTATTCACTCATTACAATTTTTGAGTACATCACCCCTTCTCTGAAGAGTTGCAGATCCTGGCATCTGCTAACAATTACCAAAGTAACCTCTACAGTATAATGGTAGAGCACAGGCTTCGCATACACACAGCTCAGATTCAATTCCTGTCCAGTTTTATGTGAATGTACTTACAAATTTCTTGAGATTGTCTTGCAGTTAAATTTGTGGTCATTCCTTAAACCAGAAAAATCTTTTAAATAAATAAATTTACCATAAACACCAATATCACTACATATACATGTGGTTATAACCACACGAATATTTTAGTCATGCAAGCGAATAATTATTCGCTTTTAATTTTCTCTATAAATACTATACTACAGGTAATTAATATTATTTCAATGCAGTACTTACATTGGTTGCATGGTTCTCTTACATAAATCTATTGCCCACTCCAGCATGTCTGGGTCCACATCTTTGACTCTCTTACATATTAGCCGGCAACTCAGTCCATTACGTTCATACTTGTGAAAAATTGGGAATTTTGATAGTGGCTCTGGCTGGAAATAGTTATAGTATTACACATGATACAGTCAAATATCTGCTTCATGTGTGGTTCGTAATTGTTTACACAAACAGAATTAAATGAAGTGCATTATAATACAACGGTATATAATATATGTAAATTGAAGAATATGCTGTCCATATACTGTACAGTAACAGCAACTGATGACTTTTTAAACAAGCTGAAACAAAAAATAGCAAATAAAACCTCTGCCGCAAACTAAAAGGAAAAAATGTGAAACAAAGCTATACAAATTAGCATGAGGAATTTTAATAAGATTATTACCTAACACCTAAATTTCTAATGCAGTTATGCAGTGAGAATTTTCTTTTAGTTTTTTAATCCAAAAGCCCATCCATCTCACCACCCATGACCAAATCATCCTGACATGTGACATTTATGAAAACCTAAAATTTAGATCTCTCTAGCCTGATCCATTTTCTATCCTTATTACAGCATATGCAGTTTAACATTTCCCTTCCAGGATCCTGGTTACTTCTTCCTGCAATTTTACATAATTTTTATTACAATTACAATTCTGATTCCATCATTTTCTCAAAAAGTACAGTACAAGAATTTCTTTTTTTTATTGTACACTATACCATATTCAAATTGTATCTGTATTCTAAATATTCAGTACACATACAGTGGACCCCCGGTTTACGATATTATTTCATTCCAGAAGTATGTTCAGGTGCCATTACTGAACAAATTTGTTCTCATAAGGAATATTGTGAATTAGATTAGTCCATTTCAGACCCCCAAACATACACGTACAAACGCACTTACATAAATACACTTACATAATTGGTCGCATTGGGAGCTGATCGTAAAGCGGGGGTCTACTGTACACTCACTTATGTACTCCCACATCATAACTTCAACAATTACCTTGAACCTTTTATCCATTGTTGATAGGAATATAATTGAATCATTGTTTTCACAAAAAGCATTTTTTAATATATGAATACATCTTTTGTCTTATACAAATTAGATTCACTTATAATTAATAATCTACTGCACAACTATGAAATAATTACTATCCTACTGTACAACTATGATACAATACTTAGTGTTAAGTAGTCTGTAAGCCAATTATGTTAAGTTGGCCCATAATGCCTAGGCATAATAGAGGCTCTCTTTGCATTGCAACCCACTATTGTAAATACAAAATCTCAATGTACTATTTGCAAAGACATAAAATAAATAAATAAATAAATAAGATTAATTCTCAGCTTTGCCATTCCATTACTAATGCAATTCACTAGTATTGCTACCTCAAGCAGTTTAACATTTATACTAGAGCATAATTAATATAATAACAGGTTTGTTTTGCTACTTCAACTTACACTTGGGTTACCCTGCACATGCATGTACATGCATATACGTATGTACATACCCATCTGGATTTTCTTCTACAGTATTTCCTTAAAAGTTCTTGTTCTTCCCACCTGCCTCAGTGGGATACAGCCAGTTTGTCGAGAAAAAAAAAATGACAACAGCCTCTCCTCACTTAACGACAGAGTTCCATTCCTATGACTACGTTGGTAAATGAATTTGTCACTAACTGAGGAGCATGTGTGTGTCATTCATCTTTGATATTGTTTTAATGTCACCTTTGCACCATTTATAACATTTCTGGTATATTTTTAAATGATTATTCAGTAGTGTACTGTATGTTGTAATAAACAGAATAGAGGAAACCAGCTCTAATATACATTATTTAAGTATGCATAGTGGTCAGAGAGCCCATTGTATGTCCGAGTTGGTAAACGAGTACATCACTAAATAAGGAGAGGCTGTAATATATTGTACATACTTTTCCATATACTGGTTCTATACTGTATAAAGAATAATCTAAGCTGAAAGATAGAAAATAGGTCACACAGTTTTTCCTCCTCCTAGCCTAAACTTAGAGGGAGCGATATCCGATAAAATGGAGCAGGCACAACAGGTTTAGTATTGAGGCTTATAAATTAAAAACAACTTGACAGAAGCTACATAAATTTACCATTTCAAGTTTTGATAAATTAGTAACTACCACAAGAATATAATGTCTTACTATTGAATTTGCCTGTTTGACAAGAAGTTGAGCTGCCGCAATCCTTGCCCTCTCTGCCTTTTGAGCAGCTCGCCGTTCTTTTCCTTTATTTTTTGACCTACTTTTCTTCAGCTGGCGTTCCTGTCAAAAGAAAACTCTTTTTTGAAATAACACTACTATTTTGTAACTAAAATGCCTTATTGTTTTCTTAGGAATGAAACTGATACATTAAGTTTCTTGAATTAGAATAACACACAATACACACTTTCAAGAAAATACAAATGCATCTCAGGGAGAAATACATTAATTATACTTAAAAAAATGGTAAACAGTTGGAAAGGGTTGCAGATGGTAGATAATGTACAGAAAACCCTCATTTTAACAGACCTCAATTTAACAGTCTTTCAAAATATAAGAACTAAGCCAAATAGTCTATTGATTCGAAATTAACGAACAAAGAATGTTGGTTAAAGAAATGACCTTTTGTTATGTTCACGAGAAAATAATCTCAATCTCGTATCTACCACAATCACCATTTCTGGTTACCCACTACCCCACACCCATCAGTCAGCAGTAATAAATCAAAGATTTGTCATAATGTAGTACTCTTTATGGTTAAGAAAACACCACAGATCAAGCTTTTATTGGAACAGTTTTATTCAATTTAGAGCTTTATTAAATATGACAATGAAGCCTTAACCGCTTTCTCTATCTTTTATACAGAGCTATGTTATTGTTGCTAGTGTCACTCACATATACAGTGGACCCCTGCATACCGTACGCATCACATAACGTTCAATCTGCATACCGCTCGCTTTTATCGCAAAAATTTTGCCTCGCATACCGCTCAAAAACCCGCTCACCGCTCTTTGTCCAAGACGCGTCCAATGTGCGCCCTTAGCCAGCCTCACATGTGCCGCCGGTGGCATTGTTTACCAGCCAGCCTCCGCGGTAACATCCAAGCATACAATCGGAACATTTCGTATTATTACAGTGTTTTTGGTGATTTTATCTGCAAAATAAGTGACCATGGGCCCCAAAAAAGCTTCTAGTGCCAACCCTACAGCAATAAGGGTGAGAATTACTATAGAGATGAAGAAAAAGATCATTGATAAGTATGAAAGTGGAGTGCGTGTCTCCGAGTGGCCAGGTTGTATAATAAACCCCCATCAACCATCGCTACTATTGGTGGTACAGCTGCTGCTGCTGCTGTACCACCGTCAGCTGCTGCTGCTGCTGCACTGTCAGCTGCTGCTGCTGCTGTACCACCGTCAGCTGCTGCTGTAGTACCGTCTGCTGCTGCTGTAGCATCGTCTGCTGCTGCTGTAGCACTGTCAGCTGCTGCTGCTGCTGTAGCACTATCAGCTGCTGCTGCTGCTGCTGTAGCACTGTCAGCTGCTGCTGCTGCTGTAGCACTGTCAGCTGCTGCTGCTGCTGCTGTAGCACCGTTGTTGGTGTGGCTTATTGAGAATACCAAGAAACAATTAACCCCAGAGGATTTGCCACCCAGGATAACCCAAAAAAGTCAGTGTCATCGAAGACTGTCTAACTTATTTCCATTGGGGTCCTTAATCTTGTCTCCCAGGATGCAACCCACACCAGTCGACTAACACCCAGGTGAACATGGAAAAATGCCTGGAACTAGTGCTCATATTGGTGAATTTAAAGCCAGCAAAGGTTGGTTTGAGAGATTTAAGAATCGTAGTGGCATACACAGTGTGATAAGGCCTGTTCTGGAAGAAAATGCCAAACAGGACCTACAGTACTCAGGAGGAAAAGGCACTCCCAGGACACAGTGTCTCATCAGTCATTGCTGCATCTTCAATAAAGGTAAGTGTCATTTATTCTTCATTTAGTAGAGTAGTACATGCACAATATATATTGTGCATGTACTACTCTACTATTGTGCATGTATCCTTCTCTTTGTGTGTAGGAAAATGTGTATTTCATGTGGTAAAAAAAATTTTTCATACTTTTGGGTGTCTTGCACGGATTAATTTGATTTCCATTATTTCTTATGGGGAAAATTCATTCGCATACCGATCATTTCGCATAACAATGAGCCCTCTTGCACGGATTAAAGTCGCTATGCGGGGGTCCACTGTATCTATGTTCTAAATACAGGCCCTCAAGCATGTTGTGAGCAGTAAATTTTGGCCTAGACCTGAGAGACTGGGTCTGTGCACTGTGTGTGAACAGTATATATGTAAAATCCTGCTCTACACAATGCATGATGAATTTAAAAGCAAACCTCTGATCTTGTTTTTGCTTTAAGATAGCAACTTTGAGGTGCACTGACTTCAGTGTTACTGAAGTCAGTGCACTTTTGGTAACCATAAAAACAGAGCAGTGACAGTGTACTCACCTCACAACCTAACGTACCAGAGTTTGAACTCGGGACAAAGTGAGACGTGTCAAAGTCTCCCAACAACTGCTGCCTCTATAAACTAGATTGTAATAGGAACCTAGTTGTTAGCTTTTTTAGACCCCTCCTGATTACTATTACAGTCATATGGGTGCTAACCCTGTAGGGGTCATACAGCACCTAGGGAATGGAAGGCATTCTGACTTATTTCAAGAAATTGGAGCACAGGTCCAATTCCTTAGATTAAGAGCCTCTCACCAGCATTAAGGAACCTACCTGGAGGAAATGTCCCCCTAAGAGAGGACCTAAAAAGGACCCTAACAAAAAGATATGCCACACTGCTTTGCTTTCTGGGATATCCTGGGTTAATATGTGCAACTGTTAGGCATTTTAATTTCAAAACATTATGCCTACATAGTAGACTTCTCCAGTCGAATACAGAGGAGGCAGTAGAAGCAGTAGAGATGTAAAGACGATGTAATCAGACCATCAGCATTGAAGACGTAGTTTTGAGGTGGTCAGTCCCTCAGCCTGGAGAAGTTTTTTCCTCCATGAGGGACTGACCACGTCAGAACTACGTTTTCAATGTTGATGACCTCATTACATTGTCTTTACACCTCTACTGCTTCTGCTGCCCCTGTACTCAACTGAAGAAGTCTACCATGTAGGCCAAACATTTCAGAATAAAGCTGCCTAACAGTTAGCAACTTGTCGATAATGTACACCATTATCATATTCACAATGTATATTTTATTGTCAAACTCTGGCGAGGAGCAATTTTTAATTATGCATTACAATATAAACTAACTAGTTGAAATGTCACTTGAAACTTATTTTGGGGGTTATCTTAGGTAATTTACACAACATTACGTGAGACAATTATAATTATCTAAAGACTTGTGTAACTTCATATGAATAAACCTATTCAATTCCAGAATAGAAAATAAAGATTCAGTCACGTCCAGTTTACAGGTTTTAACAGACTGGCTTTAAAATTCAAGAAAGTTTGTACTAAGCACATAATCACCGAAATACAGTGGCGATCACTGGGAAAGTTTTGACATAAGAAACCTTGTATTTAAATCACACTTTCAAAAATATAATGAACAAGACGAGAGAATTTCAAATTTCCCTGAGGCAGCACACCGCTGTCCTCCAGTAATAAAGCACTAACCCCGGCACCTACGTACATCCATGGCTGGGGTGAGAGGTAGGTGAGGAAGAAGTGAGCCAGGGGAGGCAGGAGAGCCAGTGTCAGTGACGAAGAGTGTGTAAAACAGTGAGAGCAGCTCAGGAGAGCCTCGTCCAGCCAGGCGGGAACCTTCTCCTGGCCGCCATTACTACATACAACCTGCCTAAACTATAATTATAATAAACAATAATAAATATTCAATTTTTTTCAGTATAAATGTCCATTTAAATCGCCATTTATAATAAATCATTATATGGGACGAAAATGGCTACATCTGTTTGGTTATCTTACGTTAAATCTCTACAGTTTATCCAATGGAAAGATGTCACTGTGACTTTTTTAGAGGGGTTATTCTAGGTAATTCACACAATGTATGATAATTGCACTTATGTGCACCTGTGCCGAAATAAACTTACTCACACAAGCATTTTTTCAATAGGGATAAGTACTAAACCCGTAGGAGTCATGTAGAGCCTGGTGAATGAAAGACATTCAGGTTAAGATTCTTCTAACAAGCTCTATTTCTTTCTGCAAAATGTAGTTTATATGTAATGAAATATTGTTAAGCACAAAAGAAAGTCACTAGCATGTTGTGCATTTCGGATTATTAAAGAAGAGATTTAACAACCCAGGATAACCTAATGAAATCCGTCATTAAAAAAAAAAGGCAGTAGACCTAAATAACTTGCGAACAATCATGTACAAAAAAAAGCAGTTCATGTGCTGTCCCCCATTATTGCAACAATATTTAACAAATCTGTTGAATCTTCAACATTCCCAGTCATACGTCAAGGGTCACCCTGATCCACAAAGGAGCGATCCTACAGAACTAAATAACTTGCATTTGCTCTCAAAAATCTTCGAAAAAAATAATATATAAAAAAATCTACTCCTACCTCCTATCCCATAACGTACTGAACCCCTGCCAGTTTGGGTTTAGGCCGAAAAAAACGCATGAATGATGCAATTATTCAGATGCTCGAATTACTGTATACGTACAGCATTTGAAAAAAAAAATGAATATCCTCTGGGGCTCTTCATAGACCTACGGAAAGCATCAATACAGTAGATCATATTATCTTGCACCTAAAGCAAGAGCATTACGGGGTCAGAGGACACTCTCTCAATTACCTAAAATCTTATCTTAGTGGTAGACACCAGTTTGTATACACAAATAGCGTGACCTCCAATACTCAGCCTGTAGTTGTTGGAGTGCCACAGGGGAGTGTCCTAGGTCCTCTACTCTTTCTTGTTTACATCAGTGACTTCCCAAATGCACCGCGACTCCTAAAACCAGTTCTATTCGCAGATGACACCACATATGTCTTCTCCCATCCAAACCCGGCTATACTGAATAACACTGGAAACGGCGAGCTTCACAAAATATCAAACTGGATGAAAACCAACAAACTTACTCTCAATATAGACAAAACCTACTTAATGCTTTTTGGAAACAGAACATCGAATATCCAGCTAAATACATCGATAAATGATTCACCCATTACAAGACTCACTGAGGGCAAATTTCTAGGTCTTCACTTGGACTGTAATCTTAAATTTGACCCACATCCAGCATATAACTAA